ACTACTACTACTACTACTACTACTACTACTACTACTACTACTTACTACTTACAACTTACTACTACTACTACTACTACTACTACTACTACTACTACTACTACTACTACTACTACTACTACTAACCACTACTACTACTACTACTACTACTACTACTACGACGACGACGACGACGACGACGACGACGACGACGACGACGACGACGACGACGACGACGACTACTACTACTACTACTGCTACTCCTACTCCTTCCCCATCCCTCCTCCCCCTCCTCTCCCTCCTCCTCCTCCCAGCGCGAGGGAGCCGGGGGCTCCTCGACCATCGAGTGTCCTCGGCCATCTGCTCGCCCATGGCGGGGCGTCAGTTAGGGGCGACGGTAAGGGGTGATAGGTTGCTTGGGGGGGGCGCATCGACCCTCAATCCTCCCTTGATCGCCGACGGGAGCCCCATGGCCGACCCCGCCCCACAACGTGGGGATCTGATATCGGGGGCCTGTCGGCGATATATCGCCGATTCCAGCTCGATGTCTCCCCCCCCTGAGCTGGTCCCCTACAGTCAAGACGTTGAAATAAGGACTGTCTTGGGCTCGGGAGGGGCCACGATTTTCGGGCCGCTCCTTGGATCTGCGTCATGGGCCGCCCGGCCCTGCTCGTGGCCGAGGCTCGCCGTTGAAAAAAAGATCCTTCGTTCCAAATTCGGCACTCCTTCTGGTGGCACGATGAGTGTAATCGTGGGGGGGGGGCGGCGGCGTGGTCCGCCCGCGCGGCGCTCTCCGCCGCGGAGTTGTCGGCGCGCGGGGGCGCGCCGTGCCATCGCGGCCTCGCAGGGTTTTTGAAGCAGTGCCCGCGCGCCCTCCTCGCACCAGGCGCGGCGGGCGGCGGGCGCACCCACCCTTCGGCGGTGACGAGGGGGGCGAGCAGCCTGGGAGGGTGTCCTCCTCCCCCTCCTACTCCTCCTCCTCCTCCTCCTCCTCCTCCTTCTTCTCCTCCTCCTCCTTCTCCTCCTCCTTCCTGGCCCTGGCCCCCCTCGGTGGTGACGAGGGGGGCCAGGGACGACCCGCATGCGCCTGGGATCCTCGCCGAAGACACGGACCATCGGCATCCCTAAATTCTCTGGCATCGCTCGCACGTGTGCATGTTGTCCCGGCGAGGACCATCGAGGAGCATATTGGATCACCTTGCGAAAAGAGACGCACGAAACCGAAAAATGCACGGGGAATGGACGTCGGAGCGATGCCGAGGATACATGACGGGGGACTGATGGCCCAGTTTAAATGATCGAGCGGTGCAAGATCACGCAGCCCAGGATCGTCCAGGAAGCCATGCACAGCCTCGCGTACAACAGCAATGCGAGGGAAATCGAGATATGTCGCCGCGCCGTTTGTGCCAACGCGCGGCCTTCCGTCTTGGGAAGGGCGCCTCGGCCACCAGGGCAAACGCCGCCTCGGGCGCAGGGTTTGCCTTGGGGTTTGCCGCGGTGACGGCATCGTCTGCTTGGGCGCGTGGCGCAGGGCTTGCCGTGGGTTTGCCGTGGTGTCGGCGTTGTCCTCTTGGGCGCGTCGAGGACAAGCGTCGCGACCACATCTGTGTTGGTCTCCACTTGGCTATTCGCCCCCATCGTCGCCCCCGATTCTTTGGCGCTGCCTCGTGGATGCTCGGGCGTGCCTGAGGCTGGGGGGGCAAAAACCCTCGCCCTCCTCGGACTCCTCTGCCCCGCCGACTCCTCCGGGCTTCTCCTTTTGCCTCTCGCCCCGCTGCTTCCTCTCCTCATCCTACCCCTCCCCTCTTCTTCCCTCTTCCTCCCCCCTCGTCCTCCTCCCTCCTTTGGGCACGCTGCACCTCCCTCCACCTCCTCCTCCTCCTCCTCCTCCTCCTCCTCCTCCTCCTCCTCCTCCTCCTCCTCCCCCTCCCCCGCCTCCTCCTCCTCCTTCTCCTCCTCCTCCTCCTCTGGGCCGGGCGATTCGCCTGAGACACTCTCATTATTCATGACCCTGAAGCTTATTATGGGCAACAGCTTCGCAGGTGGAGGGCGAGTGGTTTCCAAAATGTGGCTGTCGCCTTCGCGCCGCGCACATGCTTGTCTATAAATCTGCAAGAGGTTCACGGGTTGAGGGCGGGTGGTTTTCAAAATGTGGGTCTAGCTTTAGCACCGCGCACATCCGCTGTGAAAAAATGCAAGAGTTTTACGGATTGAGGGCAGGTCGTTTTCAACATGTGGTTCTCGCCTTAGCGCCGCGCGCATTCGTTTAACAAAAAACAAGAGGTTCACGGATTGAAGGCGCGGCGTTTTCAAAATATGGATCTCGCCGAAGCGCCGCGCAAATTCGCTTTGAAAAATTGTACGAGTTTCGCGGATTGTGGGCGGTTCTTTTTCAACATGTGGCTCTCGCCCTAGCGCCGCACATATTTGTTGTTAGAAATTGAAGGAGGTGCATTGGTTCCCATGGTTAACGTACCAGACTTGGCGTTGGTACGTTAGTTCGCGGTGTTGAAGTCCCAGGAAAATCGTTTTGGCACGATTCCAGGTCGCCAAGACGTAACAGTCAGGATAATTCTTGGCGTTGAGGTCCTGAGAATGGTGTTGCGGCACGCTTCAGGATTTTCACACGGTTGCTCCCCAACGGGACAATTCATTCAGTGAAAATGAACCCTTGTAGGGGCTTGTGAGGAGGGAGTTTGTAAGGAGGGTGTAGTCCAACATTGTTGATGAGTCTTGGGTTTACATTGGTCTTTCTCCCACTCATCATCATCATCATCATCATCATCATCATCATCATCATCATCATCATCATCATCATCATCATCATCATCACCAACATCATCATCATCATCATCTTTCTCCTCATCATCATCATCCCTTTTCCATACTCCCTCCTCCCTTCTCCCTTCTCCACGCTCCCTCCTCTGGCCTCCTCCTCCTCCTCCTCCACCTCCTCCTCCTCCTTGAATTGTTTGGCTTCTAACGGCTGCTTCATGTTTTCATGTGGGCGAAGGATCCATTCCCGTGCCGCCCAGGTCATCGACATAAACATCCCCGAGCCGCATTCACAGTATCCTTGTACGCCTCCGGCGGTATATCCGATATAAGATCACAATGGAAAGAGGGCGACGCACGATGGGGACATATTGGACATTGAATGGGAATTGGATGGAAGTAGGACAGAGGTGATGGTGATGATGCTGACGATGATGACGATGATGATGGTGATGATGATAATGATGATGACGATGACGATGGTGATAATGATGATAATTGCGTCGACGACGATTTTGATGATGATGATGATGGTGATGGTGATGGTGATGATGATAGTGGTGATGGTGATGACGATGATGCTGATGGTGACGATGGTGGTAATGATGATGGTGATGATGATTACGATGGTGATGTTGATGGTCATGGTGATGTTGACGATGCTGACTACGATGACGACGATGATGATGGTGATGGCGACGACGATGACGCGACGACGGTGATAGATGATGACTGATGATGATGATGATGATGATGATGGTAATGGTTGTGGTGATGGTTATGGTCATGGTCATGGCGATAGTGATGGCAATGTTGATGCTGATGGCCAGTGATGATGACTATGATAGTGATGATGGTGATGGTATTGGTAATGGTGGTGGATGTGTTGATGATGATGATAATGATAATGGTGATGGCGATGATTGTCGTGGTGATGACGATGATGACGACGACGATGGCGCGACGACGATGGAGGACGATGATGATGATGCTGGTGATCACGATGATAGTGATGATGGTGATGATGATTATGATGATCGTGGTGATGTTGATGATAGTGATGATGGTGTTGATGGCGATGATGAAGGTGATGGTAATTGTAACGTCGACAACGACGACGATGGTGATGATGATGGTGGTGGTGATGGTGGTGGTGATGCTGATGATGAGGATGGCGACGCTGATGATAATGATGGAATGGTGGAAATGATGATGACGATGAGGTCAGGTTTTGAGGGCGGCTTGCAAAGTGAGAGCGCAGAAGCACACGAGGGGTACAGAGCGGCTCATATGTGTGTTCCTCCTCTACGCGCGTGTGTGTGTGTGTGTGTGTGTGTGTCACCACAGGGCTCCTCCTGCGCATGCAAGAAGGGGGGGTCTGTGTGTCTGTGCATGAATAGCATGTGTGTCTCTGTAGGCTCAGTGAGTCGATAACGCGTCGCACCAAACTGCACACAAGTGGTGTCTGGGTAGCTTGTGGCTCGTGGCACGGGGTGGAACTCGTGCAGCGTAGCTCTGGTGCCATGCGTTTGTGGGCTGCTGCGAAGCAGCAACGCTGGTGTTGGCAGCTGTTGAAGCGGAGCATGTTGACGATCGTACCGTAGTGCGTCTACTTGCGACGTGTGGTAAGGTGAACCGCTCGGACCCAAGAATCCTGAAGCGTGTTACATTATCTCTGCCATGCCACCCGCTTCCTAGACCCTTGTGGGGGGCCCTCTCGATGGATTTGCTTCTGAACATCCGTGGCGCCCAAGTTTCTGACACCGCAGGCGCTGGCAGTACGCTGCGCTTTCGGCTTACTATGTTCTCCCAATTTTGTGGACTATGGTTTCGGAGACCCCGCAGCACGGAGGTCGATACGTCTGCTTCCATCCGAAAAGTGCGACTGCACGAACGCGTGCATGCAATCAATCACGTACGACCGAGCTTGTGCAATCTTCGCTTGCAGTTGCGTTGATGGTCCGCTTGCGTATGCCTGCGCGTGTACGTATTGGCTGTTCGGGGCGTGACTACTGTCACGAGGAAGCCCGAGGGAAAAATGTAACTCTTTGTTGTGGCGTCTTGGCCGAACGAGCCGCAGCTATGGGCTCAAATTGGCGATGGGTTCCGGAAAGACGATTCGGTTGCATCAAAAGCAGAGGGACCAGCGATTGTGAACATCCATGACATAAGAAATAGCGCGCTGCTGCAAATCGCTGCACGACCCAAACGAACAATAGGGGTTGCATGCAAAAAACATGTTGGGAAATACTGATCAGGCCGAAGCACTGGCTTGCGAGCACCAAGTGCAGTGGGCGGGCGCAAGCTACGATATCATCGAAAACTACGCTTCGGTCAGGCACAAGCGACGGAGGCGAAAGGAGGGACTAAGAATAATGCACTCGTCCTTTCTGGCGGCAGGGTATTCTTGCGCCCAGACTAGCAGGCACTTCACTCGCGTCATTATGGCAGATGTTCAGGTCGCAAACGACAGGCTCCGACATGGCATCAGGCTGCCAACGGACATTGGGCGCGCGTGGCTTCGCGCACTTGACTTAGAAATAAGTGTCATGTCTTTCGGTGTACGTGGCTATTCGATTAGGGATTACCGTCAACAGACTCAAGGTTTGGAAATTGGCACTGAAGGGCCCCGCTGCACAATGGCAGCGGTCCATATCGTTTTTCTTGTAGCACGAAATTCACGGAGTAGGTGAGTAAACGGGCCCAGGCGAGACCTCGCAGCTCCTTGGGGGGAGGGCTGCGAATTGCCCAACTCTCGCCACTTGCGTGGGCTCCTGGGAGGCACGGCGGAGTGCGGGAGTAAACGGATCCAGCCGAGACCTCGCAGCTCCCCGGGGGGCTGCCAATTGCGCAACCGTCGCCACTTCCGCGGGCGCCTAAGAGGCTCGGCGCAGTAAGACAGTAAACGGATCCAGCCGAGACATCGCAACTCCTCGGCATCGTGCAAATAGCGTATATGTCGCGATTTTCGCGGGCTGCGCAATTGTCCGCGGGCTCCTGGGCGGCACGGCGGCGCGCGAGAGTTCGCGGATCCAGCCGAGATTTCGCGGCTCCCGCGGGGGGCTGCGAACTGCGCAACCATCGCCACTTTCGCGGGCCCTTGGGAGGCACTGCGGAGCATGGGGAGCATGCGATAGTACGCGCACCCAGCCGAGGCGAACAAGGGGAGAACGCGCTGTCCGCCGGGACCCCGTCATTCCCAGGGCGGCTGCGAATTGCGCAGTTGTCGCCACTTTCGCGGGCCCCTGGGAGGCACGGCGGAGTAGGAGAGAACGCGCGCCCGCCCGAGACCCCGCAGCTCCCTGGGGGGTGCGAATTGCGAAATTGTTTTCGTTTCGGGAGGTCTTGGATGGTCCAGCGGGGTCGGGGGCCACGCGCACACATTTGAAACTTTGTTGCCCCCTGGGATGCCGCGAACTGCGCAGCTGTCGCCACTTTCGTGAGCTCCTGGGAGGTTCAGCGGAGTCGGGGGCCATGCGGGTCTAGCCGAGACCTCACGGCTCCTCGGGAAGCTACGAATTTGCGCAGTTGGCGACATTTTCGTGGGCTCTGGGGAGGCAGGGCGCGGAGAGGGGGTCGACCACGTCTCGGGCATTTTGTTCCCAGACATCCTGTGGTGTTGGATCTTCGTTGTGAAGAAACAGTGCCCCGCGTCCTCCTCTTCCTCTCCTCCGCCTCTCCCCCCCCCAATCCTTATTCCCCACGCTTCGGCGCGCCCCTCGCATGCTCCGCGGCCCCGCGTGCACCTCCACCGAAGGGCCCCAGCGGCGCAGCCCACGCGTCGCGCCCGCGCCCGCTTCGGCACCCCCCCCCCACGCGCCGCGCGGGCTTCGAGGGACCTCCACCAGAGGCCCGCCCACACGCTTCGCGGCCCCCTTGAGGGGGCCCACCAAAGGCCCCAGCGGCGCAGCCCGCATGGCACACCCGAATCCGATCGCCCGGCGAACCCCCCCACGTCTCGTGGCCTACGCCCACTAGGAAGCTCCACCGCAGGCCAGGGCGGCAAAGTCCGCACGGCGCGCCCGCGCCCGCATCGGCGCGCCCCCCACGCGCTGCGCGGCCCCAGAGGGAGCTCCACCTAAGCCCCCACAGGCACAGCCCGCATGGCGCACCCACACTTGGTCCGGCATACCCCTCACACGTTCTGCGGCCCCCTGAGAGGGCCCACCACGGGCCCAGCGACGCTGCCCGCATGGCGCCCCGGCAGCACAGTCAGTCCGCACGGCGCACCCGCACCCGACGCGGCAGACCCTCCACACGCTTCGCGGCGCCAGGCGGGCAGGAGCCCAACGCGCAACGGAAACAAGGGCGGGCGAAAGAGCCGGGAAGGGCCTGGGCACGACACCGGTTGCGCTCGGGGCCTGGGCCAAGCAAAACATCCCCCCGCGAGCCCGCGCCCGCTGTTCTTTTCCATCGGCGCCGCAGTCCTCGCGCAGCCCCCCCCTTCCTCCATCTCGCCTGTCTCGCGACAGTCGCAGCTGAAGATGGTTGGGTCCTTCGCCAGACTAATTTATGAATCGAACGGCCATCGAACGGCCTTAGAATATTCCCGTCACCGCGCCTGTGGCGCGGGTCAGAGTCCGCATGGACGTTTCCTGGCGCCTCGTCGGAATGCTCTCCGAAGATGTGGGGGGGGGAGGGGGGGGGGGGGGGGGGGCAGTTTCCAGGCCTGTCGGGCAGGTCTCGCGGGCATATCGGAGGCTTGTTCGGGTTTCTTGTGGGCCTCTTGGGGCTTCTCGGCAGTGCCCCGGGGCTTCCTGGGGGCTTTCTGGAGCAGAGAGTTCGAACTGTCCGTTCGCACCCCCCTTGTGGGGCCCCTCTGGGCGCCTTTTCGGGGCGGTATTGGGCGTCTGTTGGGCTGTATTTGTGGGCCCTCTTGGACGGCATTGGGGCTCTAGAAGATAGGCGCCCCTAAATGACATTAACGACGTCGGCCTCTCGGGGTCTTCTCGGGAGCGCTCCGGGCATGTATTTGAGCCTTGCTGGGTGCCTCTTGAGACGTATTGAAACCATCTTGAGGCTCTGGGGGCGGTCTTGACGAATCGACTTTCCCTTGGGCCCTCTCGGCGGCCTCCATGGCCTTTCCTGGCCCGTTGTCGAAAACTTCTGGCTGCTGGGGGCCGCGCGCAAAACGCCCCAGGAGCTCGGGAAAATGGAGGCCCGGGCCCATCGGAATCTTCGGGAAAAGCAGGACCCCTGGTGCACTCAATTGCTTGCTGAAAGCACGGCAGCGCATTCCGCTTGGCTGGCCACCGAGCCTTGCGCCCGGCATGGTGGTGGAAAATAACCGCGCAA